AAAATTAAACAGGGCTGTTGTACACTGTTGAGTTTAGCAAACTGGACTGTGAACATGATTTGTTGGTGTTTTAATAATTTTACCCTTTGTTTCCTTGAAACAATTAGGATCCTGGCTTTGATTTGTAAATGCAAAGAAACATTATAAAATGCACTTAATAATGTAGTCTCTTCAGATTGCTGAAATGGAGCTTCCAATTTTGAGAATAGAACAGGATGCATAAGAGAAATGTGTGCAAATAGCTAGCAGATAACATACTAGAGTAAATAACTACAGTTGTAAATAAGTGGAAATAAAGATCTGCTTCTCTTCAGAAACACTGTTGACACCTGTATTTGGAAGCTTTAAGTGTAGAACTTTGGCTTTTCGTTAACATACAAGTTATAGGGTTTTACGTTTTTAAAATTGTCCTAATGGCATCATATTCATCATAGAATACTCATGGCTTTTTCTACACCACTGTACATCTTCTATTACAAGCATTAGCTTACACATTTAGAAGGAGGTTTCTGCTAGATGTGTGTTTTGAACTGTGTAGTGAATGTTATCAACTTATCCATATTCAAAATTGATGTTGCCCTTTCAGCAAAAGTCCAAATAATGGGCCATGCTTACAAAACAGTGAGAACTGTTCTGTTTAATTTAGCTGCATGTCTCTTCTTTTTAAAAAAAATAATAAATTATTCCAAAATATCCCTTTAAATGAAGAAATTTATTCACCTTGTGTTGTTGGTTTGTATATGTTTGATAAAACCTCTGTGATAAAGTGATTAAGGTATAAATAAATATCATCAGTGGTTTATAACATTGTATTACATGGTATAAAGAAGTAAAGTAAATTGAGTCCATACTTTAAAGAAACAGGAAAAGCTTCCATTAATATGTCTTTGATTAATTGTGAAGTGAATTCCTAAAAGTGGATCAGTCTGTCCTTTCTTGTATGTTGTGTGGATGGCCATGTCTGGCTTTAGAAGCAGACGTTGCATTCCTCCAGGAACAAGCCCAGTGTTTTCTGGTGGACTCCTAAATTGGTCAAGCCACCCCCTTCTCCCCCCCTCCATACAACTTCCCTGGACTCCTGTCCTTATTTGGGCAGAGGCTTTCTGTACGAAGGGGGGAGGGGAGTAGGAGAGGGAGAAGTGGAGGAGGCTGTCTGGGTGACATTATGGAGCTCCCAGAGGCTAGAGGAGAAAAAGCAATCTCACCACAGTTTCTTAATAAGGAGATGTCTGGAAATTTAGTCTTGTTCTCAGTGTTGTTGATTCATTGCAGCTCTTGACTGTTATTTTTTTCATTTCAAAGCCCAATATGCCTTGCTAAAATGCATATTTTTTTTAATTTTGAACATTTAAGACTAAACTTGAATTGTCCATTTAGATGTGACAGGTAACGAGTCTGTTTCTTCTGGGCACCTTTCAGGTTAGTATCTAAATCCAAGAGAAGTGATGTAACCTTTTTTTCTCCACACTAAATATAGGTTGAAAGTAAAGTAAAGACAAAAAGCAAAACAAAGCTTTGTCTGTTATATGCATTTACAAAAGTAGATGTTGTGCAATGCAAATGATTCAAATAACAGTCAAAACGTGTGCAGTGTCATCACTGTTTAAATACCATCTTAATAAGTGTAAAATATGTCATATCATTATTTAATTTCTTGTAATGTCTGAGCTATGTTCATACAGTTTAACAAGTAATTGTAGGAGGCATTGTAAAGCTGTAGTATGTACATGTTGCTAAAATGATCCCCAAACTGTCAGAGAATGAGGCCTCATTTTCTGGGTGTCCCTAGCAGCGGTATGTCAGAGATAGGTGATGCTGCAGTGGGATGCTCTTTCTCTTCTGATGTTCTGTGGCTTTGGCTGTGTTGGGTGTGAGTTTCCATGTGCCACAAACACCAGTGTAGCTGGCTTTGATAAGGCCGAGCGGTAAACCAGACAGCTAGTGGTGTTTGGAAGCCTCCTAATCCCAGCTCTGCTATGCCTAACAACAGACTCTTTGGAAGATCCCTTAATTTGCTGTGGATTTGTTGCAGATCCCAATATTATCACTCTGTACTAACATGCATCCTGAATTTTTAGATTCTGCTCCCATGTTAAGATTTTTTTAGATAATTTCTGTGCTAGTATAGCTGTAAAATGTTATTATTTGATTGTTGATTGTTGTTTTCATGGAAGATTAAGGTCGAAAGTAAATCCAACGTTTTGTTCCAGATTAAAGGCTTCTTTGACTGAAGTCACTACATATTATGTACCACTAACAGATTTATCAGGTTTTTACCTTATTTCTGTATGCATGTTAATTGGATGTTTGCTAAATTATTCATAGGTTTCATCTTGTTTTTTACACTTTAAACCAAGCTCTAAAAACCAAATGCCTATCACAGTACGAATTAATGTACAATCTCTTAAGGCTGTTATTAGGGCTTTCAAATGTAAAATTGAATTAATTATTATTGGGATTAATTAAATGTTTTCACATTTTCTGCTTCCGTTATGAAACCGAGGTTTCATAGTAACTGCTACAGTTGCACCAACAGACATTCAAATTAAGAGCTTCTCTGTTTAAATTGGTTAGCACTGAATTTAAGTAAAGGAAAAGTTTTTATATATCCCATAACACTGATTATGGTTGAACTTCTAATTTCAGAAGTAACTCAGACTTCTCCATGTCAATAAAGCAGTTTGAAAAATACGTTTAAGAACTTAACTAGACTGTGCAGTAACAAAACCACAGTGGGAAGAATTTCCACAGCCACAAAAATTCACTGTGGTGTGTGCCCATTAGCTGGCTCTTTTAACTTTATTTTATTATGTTTAAGATTCATTTGTCATCTGGCAAGTTCAGGGACTTAAAAAAATAAAATGAAACGAGTTCAAGATTTTCATTCTTATGCAGAGCCTTATTGTCTTTAATTTGTGTGAAATTATTCTTGGGAAAGATCGAAGAAAACGCTTAGATTTAAATTCAAGAGTACCAGCTCTGCGTTAAAGCAAAATAATGAAAAAAAAAGGTTATCTCTAAATTTACTTCTGTGCATACTGGAAAAGTTTAAATACTTGCTGAATTCTGTTTGGAAAATATAATAATTTGAAAAAGAATGCTTTATTAAAAAATTCTTCCACACTGTGCATCCTTTCTGTTATTACAACCAAATGTATTTTGTTCTACTTTATCAAACTTATTTAGTTGAGAGTGATGTTTAAAAGGATAGAGGGAGTCTCATTTTGGTCTGTTATTAATGCAGCCGGGAAGTATGCTGGAGACAAATGGGGGTTCCATTAGTATTTGTTTCGGGGACCACCTCTTTTTTAATATCTTGCAGTTCACAAACCTGACACCTTTGATTTACATTTTCCAAGTAAAGTGTATAGGGGTCTGTGGATGTTGTGGCTGAGAAGAATGAGGCTTGTAATGCAAAAAGTGATTTAAAAGGAAGACACACTTGTACTTCCAAATCCCATGTGGAAACAAATATTTTCATCATAGTTCTAGAGAAATGAATCATAGTTCACAGCCACAATGGTTATCACCACAAATGGCAGTATCATACTCCTCCAACTCGGTGAGTCACAACTTACTAAGTCCCCTTTGACCTGGAATGTTTAATTTAATTGGTCATTTCTTGTAAATTTGCAGAAGATCAGCTTTATAGTTACTTGTTCTCCACACAGAGATATGAATTTTTATTTCTGTATTGTAGAAAAGTAATCATGAGGAGGGCAAAGGGGATTAAAGTCAGCCAAACCAACCAAAAAAACAATTTTGGATGTATAAAGAGTGGATTTACAATACAGATACTAAACTAATATAGTACTATAATATTAATCCAATATAAATTTGTTGTATAGTTAATACCTCTTAGTATATTTGCAATTTTAATGTTTCACTTCATACATCCAATGTCCATGTTGTTTTAATACTTTTAACCCAAACCGTTTTGGAAAGAAAATCAGTTTTATTCCCTGTTGGATTTCTTTGGGCATTAAGTACAGTAAATACCCCAACATCCATTTTTTACAGCATTTTTTAGCATTAAGTGAAGTGTGCTCTCTGAGGTTGTTTTAAGATGAGCTTCCTTAGACTTAATGAAAAATTAATTCTATTTTTCACAAATCATTAAAGATTTTATAAGTTGTTTAGTGTTATAGGAATGGCCTTAGAACTCATGCTAATAATAATTATAATTGTTTGATTTATATAATGTGTGTATTCTCAAAGGTTCCTGTAGCCCCCACCTGTGTGACAGGTATTATGTTTCTGGTGAGCTTAAGAAGTAAGATAATTGCAGTCAACTCATTACTTGCAGGGGGTAGGGATTCTGAGTAACGCGTAAAGCCACATTTGCATATAGTCAAATTTTACCCTATAAGCCTGATAAAATCCTCCTACTAACCTCTTATAGTAATTCAAGATATTAAATGTAAGTATAAGACGACCACATGGGCTAACTACCTACCTAACGCAGGCGTGCTTACTGAATTTATCGGAGAATAAAGCATTTTTTAAATATATATATTTTTGTCTTCCGGAGCTGACAGCGTAAAGCTGCGACCGCTTAAGTCGATAGCATATAAGTTACAAGTCGACTGTACTTCACCAGTTGAATAAAAGAGTATTAAACAGTACCTTAAATTAAGTAATTTATGGTATCGTGATTGTCCAAGTCTAAAGTGACATGTCCACACCTCTGCATGGACAATGGCTTGGAATCTTTCACTTTAAATCTTCCAATTTTGAAAATCCCTTTTTACCCTCTCATCTGGAAGAAGGCACCTTTATAAAATTTACACCACAGTTTAGGTCACCTGACCAATGCATTGGTTTGGAAATTATAGTACAGAAAGAACAGTGCTCCTTAAGTGGGTCCACTTACAGCTGTAAACTGATGGTCCTTAGAGGTCTCCCACACCCAGACTTGCTTTGCTTCTAGGTTCCCTTGAGATCAAGGAGCCAGGTGGAATCTTTGCTCTAGCAAACAATTTTTCTCTCTCTTTCTGCAGTCCTCTGTCCAGGGCTCAGTACTGGGCCCAGGAGGAGCCGCCACCATTGCGTCTAACGAGTGGAGCGCGAACGGCAGCCCAGAGGAGGGGCGGGAGGATGGTGGTGATGGGCTGGACAAAACAATGGACGGTGACGCAGAGGGTGTGTGGAGCCCTGATATTGAGCAGAGCTTCCAGGAGGCTCTGGCCATCTACCCCCCATGTGGGCGCCGTAAAATCATCCTCTCAGACGAAGGAAAAATGTATGGTGAGTGGCCCTGGCCGAGAATAAGTTATCTATCTAACATTGTACTCTTGATTTCTTTCAAATACATGTCTTTGGAGTTTGCACATATGCAGGTCAATTGACTATAGGCAGCATTGACTGAAAATGTATGACAGCTCAATTACAAAGCAGAGTAGACACCCACATTTTATAGCTGGGCTTGTGCATCATGCAGGCTTGGTGCAGGTATTCATATAGTGGATTGTTGTGGGAAATGTAAATCAGCTCATTGTATTTGGGGAGTGCTCCTTTTAATACAGCAGATCTCTGTAATTGTGGGTTCTTGCAAGATTATGAATTATTGTGAATTATTCATTTTGCTTCTTTGGTGCTAATAACTCTTTGTTCCGAAGATGATTTTAAGGTTTTCTTGTTTCAGGATACATCGGCAAAATGCTTCAAACATCCACAGTTCTTTTTTTCACGTGCCCCGTTTTCTTTCTTACATAGACATTGACACTTGACTTATTCTTATTTTCACAGTAACACAAACTTAACTTTCGTAACAAACTTTCCTAACACAAACTTAACATAAATTTGTAAGATGTCATCTGGCTTCAAGCTGCTGACTCGAGTATAAAATTATTCCAATAGCTTGCCATGAATTAAATGTTCTTTGATATATGATGTGTGTTTTTAGAAAAATGAAGGAAAAACACAGAAAGGAACCCAAACGTCATGATTATTAAAAGAACATCTTTATGACATCAGTAATTTTGAACAACACCTTGGGTGCACACAAGGTTTTGACTAGACCATGCACAATGATATGCTAATTGCTGTATACAAAAGACCAGTCAGTGGGGAGATCCAAGTCTCCTTCCTGGCTCCTTAGAGACAGAAAGGAGGGTTCAGTTGCTACAGAACTTGTAGTTATTTATTGACCGACAACCTCACTACATGATCAAATTCTGCCTCATTTACTGGCCTTCATCCTGATATGACCACACCGCAGCAGTACGACTCACGTGCTCCTGTAATTCGTGTAAGAACAGATTTCTCTGAGAGCAGTTATGACATAGATGCCCTACTTGCCAGATGTAAACCCCATTAAATAGCTGCGGAATGAGCTGGGATAATGTGTGGCATCTGGGGATCAGAGACCAAGTGAAGAAGCACATACTTGTCCAGGCTTTACAATACGAATTACAGAAAATTCCACAACTGCATCTGCTACCTTGTACAAAGCATGCATTGCTGAAGTACGTGTATTGCTTACAACAATGCACAGTTGTCACACAAGCTACGAGGTGTAGAAACTGTTGATCACAAGTGTTAATCAGCATGATGAATATACCATTGTCATTGAAATGGTATATTCATCAATGAATATACCATTGTCTATTCAATGAAATTTCAGTGCACCTACTAAAAATACATTTTTGTTAACTTGTTGCCATTATGATTGATTTGTTTATTTTTTTATTCTGAGCATGTAATGTTATAATGTTCACTGTATGGCATAGTGCAAATATATCTGATACTCGTTTGTCATCACATTTCTTTGGATTGTCATTTTACCAGTAATACTGAAACAACTCCTAGGTTCAAAATAAAAGAAATATGGGGAATGTCATTCTGTAATCAGTTCCCTTGTTGCAGTGTATTGAGCATACAATACACTTTTTCTATTGTAAATTCCTGTTTTTATTCCATCATGTTAAAATGTTTTGGAAAGAGTAGTCCAAAATCCCCCTAATGTGAGCATTCACTAAGAAACTAAGAATGTTAAGTAAATGTTATCAGAAAGTCCTATCCTGTATCTCTTAAGTAGATCACAAAGTTGTGTACATTGCAAAGCTTTCAGAAATGCATATATACAAGAACTAATGTACAGCATTTTGAAACTACCATTAAAGACATAGTAAAATCCAATGACAGTGTGTATAACTTTGATTGTGAGAACTAAAGAATAATACTTCAAGTACTGAAGACTGGTAGGTAAATTTTTAATCACAATTCATTGGAAACAAATGTCAGTATTCTTGTGAATTTAATGGATATTGCTAAGCACAACTTGCAGAATGAAACTGCTCAAAATATTAATAATATTAATATTAGTAAAACATATATTAATAAAATTAATTAATATATGCTAATTAAAATAATGTTTATATGCTTTTTATATAACAGCCTAGTGATATGCATATTTACTGGTACTGTATATCTGGTGAGAATGTATTGCTTTTTGCTTTTAGTCTGTTTTTTTTAAGGCATCAAATAATGCATGCATGTGCAAGACAGTTTCTCATAATTTAGTAAAGAAACTGCATACATACTATGCAAGAAAATTAGTCAACAGAAATCTGGTCTCATCCTTTTTGTTGATTTTGTGTAAAATTTTGCTTTTAAATTTCAAGATAATGCGTTCCTTTAACACAGTGCTTTACATAAGAACACATAAAAACCTTAAAGGGAGTTGGTCACTGCAGTCTGTCTCCTTTATTATGAAAAACGTGCAACATGAATTTTGTATGGATTTTGTACACCTTCTCAAAGTAGAGTTAGTGCTCAGAAGAAAGACAATAGACCTAATTTTATACATTTGGCTAGTTTATTGCTGTTTACATGTTGTTTATTGCTGCCTTTTTAAGGTTTTTTGTTTCATATCTGAAAGATCTAGGCTTGGTCTTGGTCAGCATCTCTAAATTTTGTTTGTGACCACACCTTTGACTTATATTTTAATTTGTGTCCTCTGGACCTAGTTAAATAGAAACCAACTGTCTTCATTGTGAAGGCTGTCTTCATTGTGAAGGCTCTGAGTACTGATGTGGGTTGGTCTTGGCAGTGGAGATTTAGCTGGAAGGAGTATCCTTGTGCAACAACAGGGTGCCTGAGGAGTTGGCTGTGTGTTGCTACACAGAGACATCATTAGTTCTTTGGTTGAATTGTTTTTATTGTTCTTTAGAGACAAAGTACAGCGGGCATCACTTACAGATCCTCAATGTCTGTTGAATATCTACATTCAACGTCACACTGCAAAGTCCAAAATTGGCCTAATGAACAAGATGCAATATTCCAAAGTCAATGTTTTTTTAAAAATATAGTAACTAATGTGCTTAAAAAAACAATGCAGAAAAGAGCAAGTTGCAAAATATAGAGAAAACATCTGAAGTGCTAAATAACATCGACAGAATATCTGACACATTTATTGTGAAAATAATGGGTCATGTATATATTGCAGATTGTCTAATAATTTATAACAGAACAATTGAATCAAAGAAACAAAATCATCACCACACTGAAATGATGGATGGTTGTGAACCCCAGGAAGCTGGATTGTCCACATATAAGTTTTGTGTGTTGTCAAGCAGGGTGTCAGGTGAGCTTTGACAGAGATACTAAAATAGTTAGACTTAACTTCACAGTGACTCATGTGAGTGAGCTGCATTCAGTGAATCATGAGGTTATCTGCTTAACTTTTCATCTTAAAAATAATTGTTAGATCCCCTAAAGCACAAGTATCCAATAGTTGTCCTGGAGGGCTGGTGTGTCTGCTGGTGTTCTTTCCAACTCGGCTTTTAGCAAGATAAACCAGTTGGTTACTGTCTTAACAGGACCAATTTAACTGTTTCTCCGAGGTCTTCAGGTGCTGCTGGTTTTAAGAGACCAGGAAAAGATGTAGACCAGTGGTTCTCTTACCACTTGTGGTACGCAGAGCACTGCCAGGTGGTACGCCATATGACCCTGGAACTTTGTTGTGTGCACTGAAAATATGGGACCGGTTTTCATATTTTCTATTTTAATCGAATTAGTTTGTCGAATATGCAGCCTGTGTACTACGATACACCGCGCACTAATACTTGAGTGGACACAAGAGCTATTATGTAATTCTATACCATTCTATAGGAATGCATGCTAGGAACTCAAGTGACCAATTGTATTTAAAAAAAGTTATCTCCAGCAAATAGAGAGGTAGGAGAATGTGTGTGATTTTGGAACAATGCCAATGTTGTAAGCACAGGAATGCATACAAATGCGTGCTACGAACGTTGGCAATCTTGTGAGCATAGGAAAGCATGATAGATAACAGAAAAATATTTAAGAACTGTTCTAGGTTAATTTGAGAAAAATACACCAAGCGTCTCTGTGTTTCGCTCCCATGCACATGAAATAAAAACCTTTTAACTTCTGAGACAGACTCCTGAAACGGAAATGGGAAAAAATGCAAGCTTGCAGATTGCTAAAGCAGGTAAGCCCCATACTATTTTTGAAGAACTTTGTTTACCATTGACAAAAGAGCTGACACGTATTATGTGTGGAGAAAAAGCTACTGAACAGCTCAACATGCTGCCCCCTCCGAAACACATAGTTCTCATAGAATTATTGAAATGGCGGATGATATCAAAAGTACACTGATACAGTGCGTTCAGATGAGCAGATGCCTTTCACTGCAATTAAATGAGTCTGTAGATATCGTTAATTTGGCCAATTTGCTCTTTTATGTTATATATGAGTTTGAGGGTACGATATATGAGCTTATGAATTAATTTATCGAAGAGAATGGCATTGACTGGATAAAATACATCAGAGTTTGTACAGACGGTGCTAGAGCGAAGACAAGCCGACACAGCGGTGTAGTTGCACGAATTAGAGAGGTTGCTCCAGAAAAGAAGTGGACACACTGCAACATCCACCGCGAGGCCTTAGCCGTCAAGAAAATACCTGACGATTTAAAATCTGTTAGACTGTTGTGAATTGTATCAAGGTATATTTATTATACGTGTATGTGAGTGTGTGTGCGCGCACGCACGCTCATGTTGGTCATTGAGATTTTCACCCACTGATGTAGGCAATCCAATCCTCCATGATCAGGACTAAGGTGTGTGTACTAAAGTAAATAGGTATTTTCCTGTTTAAAGCAATATTTTGGCCCCTGTGTGGCATATTTTCCAGCTTTGTGTACCTGTGTCATGGATTGTACGCATTTTCATGATTGATAAATTAACGTCTTGGTGATTTTATCAGGTAAAACTCAATAG